TAACGACTGAGCCACCCAGGCGCCCCCATGTAGTTAAAAGACTTGTCTAGAGTTATAAACTGAGACCATAAGTAAGAAACAAAACTCCCAAGCCTCACCATCAATATGACTACCCTTACTTTTTCAGAGAACTTTGAGTTTATGAGGCACTTTAACATACAATATTTCAGTTAGTTATTGGATTAAATGACTTAGTGTATATAAAAAAACTTAACACAGTACTTGGTATTGAGAAAGCACTTAATGTTGGCTGTGATTCTCTCAACTTCGTTAGTAGGAATTTTTTCCTCCTGTCGTTTTTCAGCTGAGTAAATAGGTTTATAGAAGTTGTGTTTTGCTCACATCTTTCTGTCTCTAATTTTCCTGTTCTTTTCACTTTACCAGATTGCCTCAGAAACAAATTATTCCAATCATGTTTCATTTTTAAGGCACAATATCAGAGCTGGAAGGAGCCTTCTGTACTACATAGTCCAGTTTCCTCTTAGAATTGAAAAAGCTGAGGATGAGAGTGACTAGGTGACTTCCTCACATACAGCTAGGTAGTCTCAGAACTACAGCTAGGACCTTAGTCTTCTAACTTACACAATACAGAGAACTAGAAGTCTAGAGTCCTAGGTAGAATTCTGAATTCCACCCTAGCTTGCCCTAAAAAGTTGAATGAGATGTAGTACTTCTTTATACCTCTGGGTACCACCACCTTTACAATGGATACTCTTATGTTTATCTGATATCTGCTAATTTTGGTTACTTAGTCTTTATAATTCAAAGGTTTTGAAATTTGTAATGTCTATTTTCTTTAATTGATTTGATGAAAACATTTATTGGGCACCTACCATTTGGCGCCCACTATGGTAGTGTTAGAGATACAAAGGCAAATGTGCCTTGTAATAGGGCTTTTTGCCAGATTGCTGGCACGTGTTCGGATTTCCAGCTGGGCAGCCTGGAGGATGAAAGACACCTAAATCCCTGGGAATACTCTGTGCTCTAAAGCCCAAATTAAAATCAACAGCATTGTGACTATTGTCGACAGCATTCTGGGCATTGCTTAGTGATGGTTTCTGAGGAAGGATGGTTTCTGAGAAGTAATGTTATTCCAGAGACAGGTATACCTCTAGAGACATGAAGGGGGAAAAGAAAACAAAATTTAAGAAAACAGGGAAACTTGTGAGGTTGATGTTATTTTTCTCACAATCTTTTGCAGTAGTCAAGACACATATTCTTATTTTAGTCAGAGAAATGAGAATATTGAAGTCTAGAGAGACTAAATGACTTGCCCCAGGTTTTTCATGATAACATATATGGGGGCAGTTATGGGTGTGGGCTGTAGTACACCTGGCTGTCCTTGAAGGGGGGGCTCCTTGTTTATTTGTTAGTCTTTATTTTTTTTGTGCTGAGACTGAACTGACCTGTTTCTGTTTCAGTTCAGTGTCAACATCACTGTTGACTTAACTGAGACTTTTTGTGGGGGAAAGCAATGTGCAAGACAGACAAGAACTTTGTTAGGATTGTTTTCATGAGATGGATAGTTCTTAAGGCCGCTACCACTGAACCAAACTCTGTCCTGGTAGATTTGAGGAGTCAGAGGTCAGGGACCACATCACTGAAGTACCTCTCATTAGGGTCACCTGGGACAGGAAGGTTGCTTGTTTTCTAACTTTAACACTTAAGAGGAGTCATACAGCCTATGACCTTTGCCCTTCTTAGCTGGTGATAGGGGCCCTTTGTCAGTAAAGCATTCATGTGGATTCTACTCCACTGCTGCAGGTCACTCCCCCTATTAAGTCTGAGGCAGAAAAGGGGTGAACTGAACTGCTTTTCTCACTGTGAGGGAGGTTCATGCATTATGCTCAGCCAGTTAACAGGTCAGAGGAATGAGTTTCCCACTGTGTGAAATGCCTTCCTTTATTATAATGTGAGTATTCTTTAAAAACTTGCCTTAGCATCAGACATCCTGAAAAACCGTGGTGTTTCTTCTGTAGTAGCTACAAAATTAGAAATATTAACTATTTAGATTCTTTAAGCGAATACTCATTGTGTGTGTGTGCGCGCGCGCACGCACCCCCACATGCACGTGACCACGTTTGTGTGTCCTTAAACAGTGTTCCCACTGCTTCCTCATTCTTACAGAATGAAACTCTGAAGTTTGAAAGTATCTGAGTCCTGAAGCAAGATAATTGAATGTGACAGGAACACAGTAACCAGAGGACCTGGGAGGCCATGAAAGATTTGCATTGCAAATATAAAAAATAAATAATGAGGCTTCTTTTTCTCCCTTACAGGGAAACTGGATTCCAAGATCCATCAAGGAGCAAAGAAGGGGTTAATGAAGCAGAATAAAGCTGTCTGACCCAGGAGAAAAGGAACTATACAGCATAGTGGAGTTTTGTGTACTAAAATTGCTATCCACTGGTCCTTTGGAATGGAAGCATTAGAAATCTAAAGGCTTGGCATCAGGCTTGAATCTCTCAGAATTTAAACTCTTACCTAAATCTGTATATTTTTTTTTTTCCTAAATCTGTATATTTTTCTTGAAGAGTAGGATTCTTACTTTCTGTAGTAGGTCAAAATCTTTGAATACATTATTTATAAAATGCTATTTTAAAAATTCTAGGTCTTTGACATTTCTCTCAGAATGGTATCAGAAGAGAAAGGAACAAGTTGGAAATTACTTTCCTCTCTGAGGCTTGGATTTGAGGTTATGAAAATCTTAACACAGGTTAACAATTTTTTTGAGAGACCACTTGAATTTTAAAGTTTCTTTTCAAAGTAATAGCCTGGTTGGAGTATTAGGATGTTTGAGGAATCCTGTGTTTAATACAAACCTGTGATGGGACAGAAAGGGGTTTTAACAAGTTTTTTGCTCTCATCCAACATCTCTTGAAGTGAACAGTCTTCAAAAGCTGAATAACCTTCTTCGGCAGATTTTTTTTTTTTAAGGGATGACCTGAAGGGGTGCTGCCACTTTGTTCTTTGGTTTGAGATGTTAGGACATAAGAGGATCAGACTGGGAGGAGATAGGGCCACCTGTTAAAGCAGCATGAAACTGCCCTATTTATTGTTGTGGGTATTGCAAAAGCACCACTTGGATGGGGCAATTAGAAACAAACTAAAAAATAAAGTCCCTTCAGTAAATGTATTCAAATACCCTCAAATGCTGAAACCCAACCCTTTAAACTATCCACAGCTCAGGAAGCTATGAGCTTTGGAAAAATAGAAGGTTGATTTGAAATGAGATTTTCACTCATCAGTCTGGCCCCACTTAGTGAAGCACTTTTTTTCTGAGGCTGTTCAGTAGAGCTGTCAGAATCTCAGTTGCTGGCATCCTCAGGAAATTCATGGTCTTAAATGTGTATGTTCTGCTTTTTATAAAGCACCACCACCACACTAGGGAAGTTGGATTCCCTCCAGCAGTTGTGTGCATGACTTAAAAAAGAGAGCGCACAGGAGAGAAAAAAAAGTGCCCTGTGTTATGAAAAAGATTAATTTCCCCTTTCTTTAATCCTTCATATTCAGCATGTATTTGCATTGAAATGCCTGCACTCATATGCATTGATGTTCACTCAACTGTGAACCCTGCTTGTTGCATAGCTCTAGGCACTGGTTTTGTGGGGCCTGATCACTCTGGATTCCCAGGGAAAACCCACCCAGTTCTTGTTCCGGTAATGCAGACATGCAGTATTCTCATTCTTTTCCTGTTCAACTTCTGTAGAGAAAGTGGAAAGAACAGCTAATGGTACTTCTTTAGGGGGAAAAAAAATTTCATTCTGGTCTCCTGAAGACCCTAGTACTATTAATGAAGACACGCTGGGTTAATATTTTACCGTGCAGTAGTACCATGAACTCTGCACGGGAATTGTCTGGTTTTCCGAATACCAAAATAAAACTGAAAGGCAGGAGGTAAAGGGCCTAGGGAACACCAACAAGTTTTCTGCCTTTTTACGGGAATGACAGCTCAAGCACAGAGGAGTCTGGATTGATTTTTTTTCACCTGGATAGATTGTGTGTGCATGCCTAAAGAAAAACATCAGGACCTGCAAGATCAGGTTATGAGACCATTTTGTGTGCTGTGATAAAGTTTACAAGAACATTACAAGTTTACAAGAACCCACCTCAGCATCCAAAATATGCAGCTGGAGCCACATGAGTAAATGGCAGAGTAACTTGGAAACTTCTTTTCATGGTTAGACTGTGAAAGCCTGTCTTTAGTTCACATGGTGATGGTGTAAGGTCTGTCTTTTATTTGTAGGACACTGGGGAGGAAGTGTGGGAAAGACTTGGGGGTAGATGGTCCTCAGTTGCTCAGTGATGAATAGCATAATTTAAAGCCTAGTGGAAATTCCTAGCATCCTGAATACAAACTCGCCCAGGAATTGCCTCTCGGTGCTTTACAACACTTTGCACTGACCCTTTTAACTCTGGGACAGCTTGGCCTGAGGGAAATTTCACATTTCTGAGCTGGTTTTCTTTTGCAGCCTAAATATTATCGGCGCCCCCTTTTGGATGGTTGGGTCCAGTGACTCTCAATTTGTATAGTACCTAAAGGATTCAGTGTTTTTGTTTTTCTAGGCAGGTCCCTGTCTCAATTATGTAAGCTCAGAGTGGGATATATATGAAACTAGATACTTTCTTGTCAGGGTTTAGGAGACTCTGGCTTTGCAGTCAGATGTTTGGAATGGAGTAAGGTTTTTTTGTTCATTTGTTTTGGTTTGGGTTTTTTTTTGCTTGCTATAGCTAATCTAGGGAAAGGGAACTAGGTGTCCCCCCTTTTCTCTTTAGGCTGAAAGTTTACAGAAACCCATTTTTCCTAGGGTGTAGCTGTGAAAAATTTAGACTTTAAAGATTACTTTTACAAGTAATTACAAAGTTATAAGTTTTTATTTAATCTCTTTCCATTTTAACTGCGTCTCTACTAAAGCCCATTTATGTGGATTTCATTTAGTTTGGTAAATTTTTTTTAATGCTTTTGCTAGAACTCCTAGCCAAGATTGAGACAGTGTTGGGGTTGTTCTCTTGCCCAGCTAAAAAAGGCCAGTAAAAAAGCAAGCATCTATTAAACTAGAGAAATCAACTAACTTCAGTTTATTAGGCCTAGGGGGAGGAAAGAAAGGCTTGTGATGAAGGATTTTTTTTCCTTGAGATTCAAATAGCAAGTATACATCTGCTGTTCTGAGCTTCTCTGAATGTGTTTGGAGGGAGGTGATCCATATCACAGGCTCCAGCAGCAACAAGGGATCCAGCATGTGGAGGGCTTTTCTACTTCTCTCACGCAGAGAAGAAAGAACATAGCACAGTTCCATCCTTGAACACAAAGAAACTTGTGTAAATGTCCATTTATATGTGTGCACATAATGTGGATTAATACATGGGGTGAAACTTGGTAAACTGATCAGATTTCAGTTGTGACAATGGAGAGCTCAGAAAGAAAACCCAGTAAATGTTGTATTCTACCTTGGAGTCAGATAAATAGGGCTGGGGGTAGGGCGCTGGGGGAACTGAGAATCCATATAGAGTTGTGACACAGGAAGGGAGTAAGATGTTGGCACAAAGGGCAAAAAAATGATACAGAAGATTTGAGAAGAGTCTAGAGTTGTACTGTCTAATATGGTAGCCACTAACCACTTGTGGTTTTTTAAATTAAATGAAATTAAGAATTCAGTTCTTTAGTCATATTAACCAAATTTCAAAGGTTCAAACAGCCACATGTGGCTAGTGACTTCTGAACTGGAGGGCACAAATATAGAACATTTCCATCATTGCAAAAAATTCGATTGGACAGTGCTTATTCAGAGCAGGGGTCCACACACTTCTTCTGTACAGGGCCAGATAGTAAATATTTTAGGCTTTCCAGGCCATACAAATTTCTGTTAACACCTATTCAACTCTGCTGTTAACAGTGCAAATGAATTCATAGATAATGCATACATGAATGAGTGTGGCTATGAGCCCATAAAACTTTATTTATGGACACTGAAATTTGAATTTCATATTCTCACACCACAAAGTATTATTTTGATTATTTTTCAGCCATTTAAAAATGTAATAACCACTCTTAGCTCATGGGACATACCAAAACAGGCAGTGAGCTTGTGAGCCATAACTTGCCAACCCCTGGTCTAGAGGAACAGGAAGTCAAAACTTAAGATTCTTTCAGTGTACAGGACATCACTTAAAAATTTTTGGTGGTTCTTTCAAGCTTGAGAACTTTGGCTAAAAATTGAGGTTCACTATAGTACTGTTTATTTTCTTCTTTTCCCTATTTTTGTAGTCCTGTCCTCCCCAATGGTAGGGTCATGCTCTTCAGTAGAAGATGACTGCTTGAGTGTTAACTCTTTTTTTTTTTTTTTAAAGATTTTATTTATTTATTTGACAGAGAAAGACGTGGCGAGAGAGGGAATGCAAGCAGGGAGAGTGGGAGAGGGAGAAGCAGGCTTCCCACTGAGCAGGGAGCCCGATGTGGGGCTCGATCCCAGGACCCAGGGATCATGACCTGAGCCGAAGGCAGATGCTTAACGACTGAGCCACCCAGGCGCCCCTTGAGTGTTAACTCTTAATTAAGTCACATCTAAGTCTAAAATACCAAACCCTACTCTTTCTCTACGTGCTAAGTAGTGAATCCTCACTTGTAACATTGCCTAGTAGAGATTGGAAGTGTGCTGTCACCCAGAATCAGTTCTGCCCTACATGTACTGTACTAGAACAAGTTAAATATTGGTGGGCCAAAGGGAGATTATTCTTCCTAGGCCGGACAGGCTTAGTGTTCATCTTTAGCCCCCCACCCCACCCCCACCGTGTGTGTGTGTGTGTGTGTGTGTGTGTGTGTGTGTGTGTGTGTGGAGAGTAAAGGGGTTTTATTATCTGGCTGTATCCCCAAGTCACACACTATTTTGAGTGGCACTGTTGAAGGATGCCTCAGGATAAGGGAGGAAAGGAAAGACAAAAACTGAAGAGCTAAAATGATCAAGGACACAGGAAGGACATAAGTTAAGGGGCTAAGAAAGGGGAGCCTTGAGAATTAAGAAATTTCTCTTTACTGTGGAAGGAGGTGGAAGTTTTAGGGAAAAGGTCATGGAGAGTATATTTCACAAGTGAGAGGTGGGTGGGAGGGTTCACGTAAACACGGACTGAATGTCTACCGTGCAGTGCGCTGGACAATCACAGTTGACAGATATGGAAAGGTAAAAGTTACAGTCGTTAGAAACAGAATGGTGGGTTGGAGAAGGACAGAATAGGGCTTTTAGATAATAAAAAGCAGCAAGATTTGGCGATATAGGATGGTGAGATGAAAAGGGATATAAAAAGATGAGAAGTTGGTACTTTGGAGAGAAAAACAAGTGGTAATCCCAAGAAAAAGAAACTGGAGAACAAAGGATAAAAAAATTAGGGGGTTGATAATTTTCTGAACCAAAGGATAAAATGGATGAAACCATTATGAGCTATTCTTGCTCTTCTGTTCTTTGTGGATGTTCACGTTCAGACCCCTTAACGGCCTTTTCCTCTCCCCACGGTGGAAGGACACCTACGGAACTGGTGTCCTGTATTTAAGGTATGATACTTCCCCAGAGACCTCTCTGCGAGGAAGTCTGGTCCAGCGAGAGTTCTTTCCACGAGGG